ACACATGTGTTATAATCGTGTTCTTTATAGTTATCTCTTATCAGCAACTATTTCGAACCATTTTAAACTCTTGATCGATGGATACTTATAGTCCTTGTCCTTATTTAAAACAAGAGCTCATATGTATTTGAAACAAATTGGGCATTTAATTCATCGCGCAACACGCGAGTAAAAACTAGTATAATATAATATGTGGGGTCGATCACCTCGTACGTGTACTCATACCCCTACCCCGCCCCTATACCTCGTACCCCTACCCTACACCCAATTCCACACCTTTGACCCCTACCCCTACCCTTATCACGATCTTACACTCTACCCATGTTCCCCTACAACCCTTCATACCGACCCATACTTACTCGTAGGGGTCGGGGTAGGGAAGGTATGAGTGGGGGTGGGGTGGGGCGGGGTATGGTCGAGGGTGGGGTGGTAAGGTCTAGGGGTAGGGGGTCGGGTGGGGGTAGTGGGTGGGTTAGGGCCATGGTTAGGGGTAAGGGTAGTGGGTAGGGTTGGGGTAATGTAGGGGTAGGGTAGGGAGTCGGGGTAGGATGGCGGTGGGGGTAGGATGGTGGTAGGGTCGGGGTAGGATGGCGGTAGGGTGGGGCTAAGGTAGGGGCATGTGGTAAGGGGTAAGGGGTAATATACGAGGGTGGGGTACTAGGGTAGGGTGGGTCGGGGTGGGGTCGAGGTGGTAGGGGTGGCGATTAGGGTAGGGTGGATCGGGGTGGGGCCGATGTAGGGGCATGTGGTAGGGGGTGGGTAGGGTCATTGTTGGGAAAAAGGGTATGCGGGGTGGGTGGGGGTTGGGTGGGTAGGGTAGGGGTAAGGGGTAAGGTACAAGGATGGAGATACCGGAATGGAATCAACATCGGAGCGGGACCGGACCCACCACTAGGTGTAAGTATGCAAATTCATTGCAGCGGCACTGTAGCATATGTGTTTTCCAAATTTGGAAAACTAGTAAAAGTCACTTATCCAAATCATTAAGTAAAAGGGAGACTTGTCTCATTTTTTTGGTTTTGGAAAACGATTTGGTAAACGTGTTTTTCTGTTTTCCTTTCTCCAGTTTTCTAGCAATTTTCTTTGGTAAACACGTTTCCTGTTTTCCAGTTTTTCAGTTTTCTGGAAAACTATAAAATATCTCTGTTAGTAAAAAGGCCCTAGTGTTTTACTATTACTATTTATATTTGCTCCTAGTCCTCCTACCCCAAAATTATCCCCCATCTCATAATTAAAACATTTGAAGTATTTCTTTACTAACACGGCAACACGCACAGCCCGAGCTAGCTAGTTGGTAGTTTATAGCTTGATTAAAGGTTCAAGCTTATATTATACTACGTAAATAAAATATGAGGTTTTTTCACTCTAAAATATCATTAAAATAAAATTTATGGATAAAATGTGATTAAAATGACTATAAACGTAACTTACTTTTATAATTACCATGATGTACGAAGTATAATTTAGACATAATTATGGTCAAATATTTGAGTTATTATATCATGTTTTCATCCAATGTCCATATTTCAGTAATATCTTAGATATTATTTCATGAAGAATCACATTACCTGTAAACCAATACGCGAATACCAGACTTGACAAGGGAACCTAGAATGTTACTGGTAGGAACCTCCATGTTTTGCTTGTCATAGTTTAGGACACTGTAGAAAAAATAAATCCGAGGTCTTGTTTAAATTAGAGGCAGAACTGGAAAGTATTGTTTTTATATTTTAAAACCAAATTGGAAGAATGAATTTACAATCGATCCATCCTTACCTGCTGCATGTAGTCCAGCCATTCACTCCATGAAGGTGTGCATGTAAAGATTTTTGCACGTCACTTCGGTTCAAATACTCAATGGTTTCTTCCTCTATGCATACGTCTTTTTTCTGAAACAAATTAAAACCAATCGACAAAATTCATTAGCTAGCTTAGTGTGAAATTAAAGATGCATGCAAGTGCTTAAAAGACAACAGACATTGGAGTAAAAAAAGTAAAAGAAAAAGTTTTCTTATTAGTGTCAAGTTTATTTTTTACAGCGCTAGCACAAAGAATAAAAAAAAATTAACAAAGATTTTGCAGTTTTATTTTAAGTCATCACTCCTCATTAATTGTTTGCACAGTAACAAACGATCCTAGGTTGCAAAATTAATAGAATAAGTTTTCTATTTTTATATATGCCACATTGATATCATATATATGAAAGATGATACTCCTTATATTTTTTGTAATATACAGAGTACAAATAAAAAAGATACAACACTTTATAAAAGTAGATATTTTAAAAGTGTCAAATTATTTTTTTATTTTTTATATATTCAATATTGATGTCATATACCAAGTAAAAGATAATAAAAAATTATGAATTTTGATATATTTTTTATAACAATCGAAGTACGAATAAAAAGTTACATCACTTTAAAAGAAGCATGAGATTTTATTCGGTGGTGAGACCCTTCACTCACATTCTCCTTCAGCTTGGTTGTTATGTGTGACCGTGCGTTAATTTTTTTGGTCTTAAGCCGCTACTTCAAGTATCACTTCTCATAAAGCAGTCACTTCAAGTGACGATTCTGTTAAAGCCGCCACACGATTTTGTTAAGTCTTAACTGTGATTACATCAACATTTTTTGGGAAATATTTTTATTCTAACACTATTTTCAAAAATATTTATTTATTTAACACTACTTTGTGGACAAACTTGGAAAGTAACCACGTAAATTAATTCAATTTCCCCAACCGCAGGTTTGTATCCAGACTGAGGGAGTGTTTGCAATTGCTTCAACTTTAAAAAAGTGATTTTTTAAAGTGATTTTGGGAAAAGTGATTAATAGTAAAAATTGGTAATGTTTGAGAAAAAAGTGATTCTGAAAAAAGTAAAAGTTGGTAATGTTTGGTAAAATAAGTACTTTTTGTGTAATAGAAAAAGTGAAAAGCAGTTTAAAGCACCCTTCCACCTGCTTCCAGCTTTTAACTTTTAAGTGATTAATTTAAGCAGAAGTTGTCATTTGAAAACACTTTTTTTAACTTTTTTTAAGACAAAAGCTGAAAAACGCTTTTTTTAAGCAACCGCAAACACTGCTTGAGTTGATGAATGTATTGCTTCTTCTTCTTTTTTCATTTTTGTTGTTGAGAAATGCTAGAGGTACACACTTTGTGTACATACTTTGTGTACACTCGTCTGTCTCTTAAGAAAATTTTGTCTGTCACAGACAACTCATATATGAATTGTCTGTGACAGACAAAATTTTCTTAAGAGACAGACGAGTGTACACAAAGTGTGTACACAAAGTGTGTACCTCAAGCATTTTTGTTGTTCTATTTTCTCAACTTTCCAACTATCCCACACCGGATGAATCAAGGAAACTTCTCCTCCCCTCACGCTATATCTGTGGCCTGGTATGTACTGTACATTGAGCAATTTGGGCCGTGTTTGATGTATTCAAAATATTCATCTTTAGTTTATTCTGCTGGACTAAGTGATTTGGGCCATGTTTGGTTATGCTGAATACTATCTGCGATTTTAAAAATGGTAAAATCGGAATTAATAATGATTATAAAATGATTTTATATGATTATAAAACGATTTTATATACAATTCATATCGATTCCATAATGTTGAATTTTTAAAAAATGGTATGATTTTAGTGATAAATTTCTGGGACAAATTGTTAAAAAACCGGTTCATTGTTTTGCTAGGATTAGGGCTGAGCGCGGATCTGGGAATTCCCGTTCCGTGCCGAAGAACCGTCCCGAACCGTTCCAGAACCGATAGAACCGGAAAAATGTAATACCGTACCGTATCGTACCGAGTTTTTTTAATAATATGGTACGGTACCGGTTCTTAGTGAGAACCGTACCGGAACCGTCCCAGAACCGTACCGAACCGAACCGTCTCGTACCGTCCCGAATTGTCCCGAAAACTAGTGTTATAATATAATAATAATTTTTATATATAATATAATATATTATATACCGAGTATAATTGTCCGTATATTACTCTTACATCTTCTTTGGGCCCAATCCAATTATTAAAACAAAAACACTAAATGATTCGGAGTATAAATAATGCTACGTAAATAGAACAAAAACTCTTAAACCTAATTCAGTCGACAACATATCCTCTAGCAGACCAAAAAGTCCAAAAGTGAGGAATGACAGAACTAATCGCCTTTGGTGTTCCTCCTCAATTCGGCTCACCTACAAGGCTAATATAATCTTGCAAGTTCTTCTCTTCAATTTTTGTAGAGTTATTTATAAATGTTAAAATCTAAAGTTTTTAAATTTCATGGGGGTTATTTAGTTATTTAAGAACCGTACCAAACCGTACCGGACCGGACCGAAAATTGGTACGGAACGGGACAGGTTCTACATATCTGCGGGACGGTACCAGTTCTTGATTTTAAAAAGAACCGTACTTTGGAACGGGACAGGTTTTTTGAAATAACCGTCCCGTACCGTCCCACGCTCACCCCTAGCTAGGATAGCAATCCCTCACAAACTTTGCCAATGGGGTGCTGAGTGACAGATGGTTAGGAATCATTCCCTAACAAATCCCTAATAAAAGTTGTCACAATTTTTTTTCCTAACAAGATTTTTCATTTTTGTCAGGCCGGGATAAGATCATCCCTAACAAAATCCCTAACAAAACCGTTAGAAAATTTTTGCACTGGGATCCTTAACAAATTCTGAGACAAATTGAATGTTTTTTGTAGTGCATAGAAAAAGTGATTGCCTAATTTGTTGTACATACAAGCTTAACTACTTAAAATAAATTAGTCCAGATGGTTGTGAGGTTACCGTGTTTAGTGAGAGGTCTCGAGTTCAATTCAAAACCTGCTAGGGTTCAAAACTCAATATAGTTAGTTTTAGCCTTGATTACTCCAACACCCCACCAGACCCCGGAGAAAAAAAGTATTCTCATACCGTTAAAATCAATTAAATCTCAACTGAAAAAATAATACTTATTGGCACAATTATCTACTACTACGTACTAGGTTCTTCTCTCGCTTTATAAATTTTATGACTTTCTTGATCATAACTAGATCACATTATATTATACGTACTCCATCTTAAATAGATTATTATGTCATTTTGTCAAATTACTTATTTAGTACGTACCAATGTAGTAAACTTGTTTGATTGTTGGGAAAGACACACATCTTGGGTCACATCATAAACGTCAATATACTCTCCAATTTCAGCATTGATTTGGTCGTTTATTTCAACGCAACGAGGCGTAAGCTTTCCAGAATTATATTGCCTTCGCATGGTTGATGTGTTACAGACTTTATTGTGAAGTTCAAATGTAGAATCTGATATTAATCCATGAGACCAATAATACTGTCCCACAGCATTGAGATCTGTGTTGAACTCCAAATCAGGGTTCCCAATCTGAAATTTATTCACATAAGTATCCACCTTTCCCTCAGTAAATCTATACTATGAAAAAATTACCAGACTGATTATCCAGCTTGAATATAATATATATTTACTCACAGCAATTCCCTTGAGATTAATTTTTGCCTTCGATTTTTTGATGAGTTGAGCAAGTTGTGGAACATAATGCCCTGGCATGCCAGGTAGGCATAATACCAATGTAATGTTAGGATTTGCTCAGTAATAATCACAATAGTAAAGATGAAGATGAGAAGATCATGACGATGATAATATAACTAATAATAATAAGGAAAAATGGAATTTAATAATCCAACTTTTACCCGGTCTTCATTTAACAGTCCAACTTATTAAAAATCCATTAAAAATCCCAACTTTGCCTATCATATTCCCTAATCAGTCCCGAGGACTTGTTACCGGCTAGGGCAGTAATTTTTTTAAAATATCGGCTTCTCTGATATGTTGCCGTTCGAGTAGGTGGACAGAAGGGCCTAGAAAAATTTGCAGACCAAAGATCAGAACCTGCTTTACTGAAATCGCCAGATTTATGAAGGTTACGAAACTGAAACTCATCCATGGACTGTGTAAGGAATCTGCTATTTCTCTGCTTCTCCTTAGTTGACTGATTCAAGCTCATATAATTCGGCCTACGCTATTCTTCTACTCCGATCTATCCGCTGAGTTCCCTGAATTTGATTTGTGGATGTGCAGAGTGAAGAAGAAGCGGAGCTCTCAACATGGCTCTCGTCATATCAGAATTCAGAACTAGGGCTAGAAGATGAACGTTTGGCTGAAATCCGTTTGGTTACGTTGTTCTTTTTTACTCTAACAGAGAATGGTTCAAAATGATTTTCCTTGACGGAAGAATCGACGAAGCAAGTCTTCTTGGAGTTTGGAGTTGTTTCTATTGCGTCGGTTTGGGTTTGACTTTGATGGTAGAACAGCGAGAAGGTAGATATATACCAAGCAAGCGACGAGGGAGGAGGACTGTCGGGCAATAAATTTGGGCTACCGGTAGTTATAAATATAAAATGTGCTGCAACCGGTAAATCTGAGGTCGGGACCGATTAGGGAATATGATAGGCAAAGTTGGGATTTTTAATGGATTTTCAATAATAAGTCGGACCGTTAGATGAAGACCGAGTAAAAGTTGGATTATTAAATTACATTTTCCTTAATAATAATAGTAGTAGTAGTATAATTATCAAGAGATTCTGTAGAAGTTTTGATACAAGACATAAACTAATTATAAAGTCTACTTTGCTGAGTAATGCATAACATCTAACTTCATGTGTCATGCATACTCTCTCCGTATTTTAATGTTCAGTACAATATGTTTGAGCACATTCTTTAAGGATAAAATAGCAGGAGTAATGAATAGTGTAGAAAATGTAGAAGAGATAGTGAAAAAGTATGAAAGAGAAGATAAAAAGTAAAAAAATAAGGGTAATTAAATATTTTTATATGAAAAACTTACCAAAAAAGAAAATTGTAGCAAATTTTTAATTACATCCAAAATAGGAAAGTGCAGCAAACATTACAATAAAATATACAAACTTATATTGAATTGGTTTATTGGACCAATTATATCTTTAAAGTATAGAGTATATCTTTAATCTACAACTTTAGTTACATATAGAGTTTCATTTGGACCATTAACATTCTTATTGAATTGGTACATTTAGATATACATTAATGCTTCCTACATGTTCCATCATTTAGGAAGCATTATATTTCCATTTTCATTATTTATGTTCATACATATTTCCATTTTCATTTTAATGGTTGTTTTTTTAAAAAATATGACTAAAATAAAACTCATTTACACAAATATGACTAATACGGAATAGTTACTACAAGGTAGTCTCATAGTAACTTATGATTAAAAATTGAACATGCGTTACTATGATTCTATTACTACTTTAATCACTAGTCATATTTTGTAAACAACCTTAATCTTAGTCATTATATATATAAGTATTTCTTTTAATTAATCACAATTCTCTCACGCTTACCTGAGTTCACTTAATTTCACCAAATGTTTACTAAACATATACTACGTATTCAATTAGACACCATATTTATTTAAATTTATTCGATGAAGCACACCCGAAAATGCGTCCACCAATAAAGTTTGAAGCAAGTTGGCCGGATTGCATACACTAATTGTCTAGCTTACCTGCATAACTTTCTCCAGTAATGAAAAACTCTCGTCCCCGGTACTTTTGGAACTTGTGGAACCACCTTTTCAGAAAATCCAGATTGTCTCTGGCTGCATGCCAAAGATGAAGCTAGGATTAAGCATTTAAGCCTCATAATTTAGAAGCTTTAGTTTTGAAAACATAATATACACTCCGTATATAATTATAAAGTGTACCAAAACTTGAAATTTACCAACTTTAATTTCCTTTTATGCTGTACAAAAAATTTGACACTTTTCAATTAAAGGAACAAATTTAACTAGGATGGAAATACTCTAATTCATATTACATGAGTTAATTGATAACTCGTTTCAATAGTATCTAAAGCTAGTTCGTGAAGCTAGAGGCGAGTGTGAAGCGGTCTCTCCCTCTCTAGGGTTTTGTTCTTCCGCTTTTGTCATTGGCGAAGAGCGGTCATCGGTGGATGTAGCGGTTTGGCGGTTGTGGCTCGTCTGCTGCTGCTGTTTCTGATCGATGGGCGAGGGTAAACAAAGAAAGGGCGGATAAGTTGTGGCGGAGCTTGGGTTCAATTCAACAACAAGGAATATCAATGGAGGATATCGTCAATCAATACAAAAGCATGACTATTGAGGCGGATGAACGGCGGACTCGTCTCGCTCCCGATCCACCGTCAGGGAGTGTAAGAGAGTCTAGGGTTTGGAAGAAAATGAGTGAATTGTGTTTAATTCCATTTTATTTTGTTTGTCTTTTTATTTCGAATTGCATGTTGTAGAAGATGAGCCGCGGCGGCGAAAGTAGAAGATGAGAATGAATTGTGCAAATGAGATGAACTGGTGCAGGGACGAAGTTAATGGTGCGATGCTACGATGTAAGATGATGCTATGTAATTCCACATAACTTTAATCACTTAAAAGTTAGTAGTAGGGGTGGGCACAGTCCAGGTCAGTCCAGGTAATTGATAAATTTTCAAGAACCGCCGGTTCCATTTAACAGGTAGGTTCGGTCCGGGTATTCCAAGTTTTGAAATAGGAACCGGACCTCACCCGTCCCATTTGAAACGGGTCAGTTCGGTCCGAGTTCTCGGTTCTTATTTTTGTTTTGTAAAAGAAGCTAGCAAAGTATGTAGTAGTTATAACATTCTCAAACTAATTAAGTACAACGTCGCCATAATATAGTACAAATTGAAATACTCCACCCGTCCCGAATTATAAGATACTTTTCGGTTTACGATGTTTGACCTGCGATAAAGCAAACAGATCCCTGTCTGCACTCAAATTATTTTTAGAAAAAAAATTACATATTCAGAAACTACATTCAAACCGCTACAAAACCTGCAAAAAATATTTCAAATTTCATAAAACTTTGATATATAAAGTAAGAGATTCAGAGTGATTTGTGTTGACCGAGTGAATAGTAAAGATATCTTATAAAATGGGACAGAGGGAGTAAAAATATAACAACATTTTAAATTAGTTAATAAAATATTTAACCAAAAATCTTTAAATTAAACAGCACACAACCACCCAAATTAAATAACACCAAATTTTAAAATGTAGATATGTAGACATCATTATCCATAAACTAAAAAGATATCACCATAAAGTCAGATGAAACTAAACTAGTTGCCATACATATTTGTCTATGAAATCAATTTAAAGCTTACTAAATTTTAAAATATAGGTAAAATTAAGATATATGTCACACTTCATTGAGTAAGAGTCTTCGTTTACAAAAAAATTAAATAAAGAAAGTTTGATGTATTTGGAATATAAAATTGGAGAATATAATTTAAGAGTTTATATGGACTTCAAAACTCTTTTTAATATTGTGAATTTTCTTTTCATTAAATGTAATAGAGTTCTTTAAAATAACATTATAAAACGGGTCCGTCTGGGTACCCGTTTTTTCAAACTTTAAGACCCGTTGAGTTCCTAAGCTTTTAAAGATCCGCCACGAACCGAACCGTTTGAGTTTTCCAAAATTTGGACCCGGTCCCAACCCGGCCCGATATTGTATTATCCGGCCCTACCCGCGGTTCCTGTACTCGTTTCCCACCACTAGCAGCTAGTAGTCTTTTTTTGCCATTCTTTCAATAACATTGTCAACAAAAACATGACTAGTGACTATATATATTACTCCCTCCATCCCTTTATTAAGTTCCTACTTTGACCTACACACATATTTAGGAAATAAATTTGACTTTACTGTTTAGACACTGTTTGGCACTGTTTAGACACTGTTTGACATTGTTTTGCACTGTTTGACACTATTTTGATGTAGAATAACTTTCCATTTAGGGAAATGAGAAGATTATTTTGGGACGACCCAAAAAGGAAAGTAGAAAGTTAATAGCGGGACGGAGGGAGTATTAGTTAGTTAATTATAATAATTTATGTTCAATTTTAAATTTTAATTACCATGAGACTATAATGTAGTAAATAATCGTCAATTTTGAAAAACTGTTAAGACCCGAAGCCTCATATAGTGTTATTATATTGTTTTATAGTTTTCGTGGGACAAATACTTTAACAAAAACTCTACATTTGAGACAACAAAGAACAATTTTTAAAAGAATCTAACATAAGAGAACCTGTCATAAACCAAGCATTCGGCCGGCTGGATGTGAGGTTAGTATATCCTGCCTAGTGAGAGGTCTCGAGTTCGAAACCCGCTAGACACATAAGGGTTTGAAATTTAATGGAGTGAGTTTCAGATCTGATTACTCCAGACCCCCGGTCCCTCTCCCCAAGACCATAGAGTAAAAAAAAGGAAAAAAAAAAAGAAAAAAAAAAACCTGTCATATCATCATTCACGTAAGCATAGTAGGATTGATTGAGAGAATAAGAGAACCCCACTCCAGCGGGGGATTCCAGATACAACATGTTTGCCTCTGCACATCAATTACATACGTACCCAATTAAGTATGTTTCAAAACAGTCAAGATCTCACCATTACAGAGAGAATGAAACGTGGTAGAAGAGATTATTATAATTATCTTTTTGAAGAAGAAAAACATATATTCCCTCGCAAAAAAAAAGAGTATTTTGTCCTAAATAGGACTAAAATGTTGCTCAAATTCCAAAATAGGAGTATGTATATTCTTATTCCCTAAATAGGACCATTATACCACTTATGTCCCTCCAATTCAGTTTTACGGTTCAACACCCATCAAGTCTGCTCGCTCTCTCTCTTATCGGTTTGAAGACTGAAGTCTTCAACGGGAGCTTAGATGCGAGAACAGAATTGAGTTGCAATGGAGCCACAAGCAAAGACAAGCAATGGCAGCGGCAAACATTAGCGAGCGGCGGCGAACGGCGAACGGCGAAGGAGCCACGTCGAGAAGTGGTGGCCGGCGGCTAGCACCGAAGGAGCCACGCCGAGCAACGGCGGCCGGCGGAAAGCTTTGGTTCAGATCCCGATTGTGAAATTGAGGCTTGTTATTCTCCCTAGCTATCTCTTCTTTCTCCTTCTTCTTCAACTCCTCCTCTAGATATTCTATGTTTCTCTCTTTCCCTCCTTTTTTTCATCACAGATTCTGTAAATTCAAAATGCTCATCACTCAACGATGGCTATAGATTCATCTTCTTTGATTTTTTAAAAATGTCAAATTTCATTTTAAAAATGTCATGACGATGGCATTTTACTCTTCAAAAATGCCATATTTTTCTTTAAAAATGCCATTAAAATGTCATTCTCGACTCATGTTGGCAATCTGATATAAATCTTGTTATCAATGATGGTGGCATCCAGATCTATCGTGGCAGAGTCCGAACCTACGGTGGTGGCGGCCGGATCTGCAGCGGCGGCGATCGAGTACCAGATCTGGCCAGATTTACGGCGGAGATGGCCAGATCTATGGTGGCGGCTGCCAGATCTACACTAGCAGCGGCAAGATCTACACTAGCAGCAGCCAGATCTGCAGCGGTGGCTACTTCTGAGGCGGTTGGCCGGCGGCGGCGGCCGGCCGACGACAGCTGGCGGTGAACGGCGATCGGCGGCGGACCGGCTTGTGCAGCCTGCGGCAGTATGTTTCCAATGTTTCAGGGGTGTTAATGTCCAACAACAAATAATAACTCCTATTTTGGGAATTTTTCAATTTTAGTCCTATTTTGGCAATTAAGAGTTTATTTACTCCTATTTAGGTAAATCCCCCTAAAAAAACCTTTATTCCAGCTTTGGGGATTTTTTATTAAGACTCTCCCACGAGGTCGGAAAGGGCCATTCTCCATGAAAGCTCCATATCCAACAGATGAGCATCCAGGACCTGCATATACATTGGTCATCACTCATCAGTGGTGGAGACAGGGCCATCCAAGAAAAAAATTCTGATTTATATGTATCATCATTTTCATTCACCCCAATGCCGCAAAGGCTCCCCCACCTATGGTGGGGTAAGGGGGGTCGGATGTACGCACTCTTACCTCTATACTAAAGCACAGAAATTGCATGGGCTGACTTCTACTTCATAACAAAGAAACACAGACAGTTTAATGAGCCATTTTATTTTATTCCATCATATTCTTAAGCCAAAAATAATGAATCTTTGACTTCATTGCAAAAAACATTCTGATGTATATGTATATGTATAAAAATTTATAAACAATAAAAATAGGAAGTATAATGAAACTTTAAGTTTTGGTTCCACAATTTAAATTCCTTAAACTCTGGTCCCCTAACCTGGCACTTAATTTACTTAATTTCTAGTTCCTTCACCCAATGGTGTATCCAGAAATCTTAAAGACCTTAATGAATTACCTCCATTTAACCAGAGAACAAGTGGCTTAGAATCTGGCTGAGTTTCGGCCTCAACAAAGTAGTAGAAAAGAGCCCGTTGCGAGCGGACCTCGACGTAGCCGGAGTACTGCCGGAAAGTCACATTAGCTGGTTGCCCCGGCAAGCTGCTAATCTGATCGCCATTAATGGACGACTTCACTCCTGTAAAGGATGTGTAAAGCGTTGCTGTGAAGACGATTATGGCTATCCATGGCGACCAAGCTGCCATATTTTTTGACTATGTTGCAAAGTTTAAAATTAAATAAGTGGGTACTATACGTCGATCGATCGATCTTAATTAAGTATATATAGTACTCGTATGATCCAATTGGTCGGTCCAGCTCTAGTTGGTCAAAAGAAAAAGAAAAATCAGCATTATTCTATCATACGGAGTAGAAAGTCTAATATAGACGCAATAAATTGATGATATTTTTACTAAATTTTCTCGTTTGGTCTAATGTTTTGATCTGGTCTGATATATATGTCTAATCTATGTGCATTTTACAAATGTCGACATCTGGTCTGTTTAAGTCTAGTCCAATCTGGTCTTATTTGATTTGAGACGTAAGTAAGACCAAATAAATACCTTTTAAGTAAGTAAGTAAGTCTAGCTTAGGATGTTTTTTAATTGAAGGTAATTTTTTTGGTGTGTTCTCTTTAATTCTAGTCTACTCTGTGTGGGAAGTATGACTTGCTTAAATCTAGTGTAATCTAGTCTAATCTATTTTGATGGAGGTAAGAGTCGAATTGGTATTCGAAGTTGCATAAAAGGGTCAAATTAAATAAGTCCTTACTATCCGGCCGTCTCCATTTGAGGCGGTTCCCGGTGGAATTTTTTCGATAATTTTTTTTTAGCATCTTATTCATTAAGTCTAGTATACTCATATCAAATGTCAGCTAAAACTTCAATCGGGAAGGCATTCAAATGAATTCTTGAAGATAACTGCGTTTTTAACTGCGCAATTATATTTAAGAATTCATTTGAAAGCCTTCCCGGTTGAATTTTTAGCTGAAATTTGGTATGAGTAAACTAGACTTAATGAATAAGATGCTCAAAAATTTCGTCAAAAAATTTTACCAAGAACCGCCCCAACTGACGACGGCCGGGCAGAGTCTCCTATAAGGACTTATTTGACCCTTTTTATGCAACTTCGAGTACCAATCTAACTCTTGATACTATGCTTTAGGATACCACGTTACAGAAACTGGTCATAATTACCTCATATTATAATTATAATTGGCACCCAATGAAGTACCACGTAGGCACTTACGTGTAAATTATTCTCCCTAATGACTGGTTTTAAATGCTACTATGCTGCTTTTTTTATAGTAAAAGACAACTTCCATTAACCAAGCAACTTCCATGATGTACTAGACATTGCAAAAGTAAGTTAAAACATACGGAATATAATCAAGGAAAAGTGTACAAATAGATAATTTTTTATTTCAAATTTATCACCTAAACGACTTATCATACTAAAAGTATCATACTCCACTACGTAGCATACAAATCGTTCACTTTAGAGAACAATCCATCCTAACAATACACCATTTCTTACAAACAAAAAGTCAAAATCAATTACTCCGTATCTTTTTTGCGTAACAGCGTTGAATTAGGGCCCACCACCAAAGCTAGCGCCCCTGGTCACTGCGACCAGTCCACCACTGGCTAATTTAATTGATATATATACATGTTAGTTTTCAAAATTTGAATTTTTTTCGGTATCATATTATTCATGTATGACGTGACGCAAAAGCAAAATAAACTCATACTAATGTAGAGCTCGTTTGATAACATTAAAATTGGTGGAATCGATTAAATCTAGTGAAATTGATTATGCTCAGCTAATTAGGTTGAATTAGCGGAATCTCCTGAATTATGAAAAAATTATTTTTAAAATATATTTCATTAATAAGATAAAAAAAATTATATAAGAAAATAGTTAAAATAGTCTTCTGATCTACATAATTGCTATGAACACGATTTTAAAGAATTCGCACATGAGTTTCTTAAAATAATACTTTAAGCATCTCAATTTTTAAAAAAAAAAATTCTCATTCAACTACGAATGAAATAAGTATTTTAAAATTTTAATAGTAAGATGTTACATTTTACTCATTATTTCATCACATTGAAAATGTAAAAAAATTGAGTATTTATATTTCAACTCCTTTCTCAATTGAACAATTATGAGTTGTTTAAACTAATAAATAAGAAATGGAAGTTAGAACTAGCGCCGCATCGTATGGGAACAACACCACCGCGCCGTGTAAGCACCAACGCGACCATGCTATGGCTTCCCAAAGCAGTTGTTGGCCGGTAGTCGCCGATACTAACACGTAATTCTGAAATAGTGACAACTTGGTCGGGAGGTTTTTCTTTTAGTCACTTCTGCGTTTTTAGCGATGGGATGCATTACTTGGAACTGCCGAGGTCTTGGCAACCTTGCCACAGTTCAGGTACTAAAGGATACGTCGACAACTTTCCATCCGTCGATCATATTCTTGATGGAGACGTTATGTGGAGATGCTCGTATTGCACATGTTTGTAAAACAATAGGTTTCCAACATCATTTCATTGTTGATTTCAACACCAAGAGTGGCGTCCTGACACTCCTATGGCGGGATGAAGTTGATACAACAATTGAAAGTTCATTTTTGAATTAGATTGATTCAACGGTGACAATGGGAACACAAAATTTGTTGTGGAGGCTGACGGGATTTTATATATGGTTTTCAGGAACGTCAAAGAAGGCGTGAGTTGTGGTCTCTCCATCAAAATCTGGCTACAACTAGCAGCATTCCCTGGGCAGTTGTAGGAGACTATAATGATATTATGCATGAGTACGAGAAGAGGGGGCGTTGTCCCCAACCACATTGGATGATATCGGGGTTCTGGAATGCAGTATGGGGGAGCGGCCTGTTGAATTTTCCGTTTGACAGTTATCAATTTACGTGGGAAAGAAGTCGAGGTACCGATGGATGGGTCAAAGAGAAACATGACTGTTTCCTTGTCAATGATGGTTGGCTAACAATGTTTGGGGATGCATGGGCCACGTCGATCGTTGGAAGTAGTAATGACCATTTGGCTATTTTTCTAAAGTTTGGTCAGAAACAAGGATGACGTAGGCAAGCGAGATTCAAATTTCAAAAACCATTGGCTGAAGGAAAAAGATTGCAAGAATGTTGTGGAACAAACCCGGGGTTCGTGCCGGAACCAGATCCTACTAGATCGTCTACAGTTTTGTAGTGTTGAACTTGGTAAATGGGGACGACATCTCCGGCGCGGTTTTCAGTGAAGGATTGACGCTTGCAAACGCAGATGGATAGAAATAGAAGCAGGGCAGATGCAGCAGGGCTGGCTGAATTCTCCAGAGCAAGAACATGCTATCTAGATCTATTAGAAAAGCAAAATGCATTTTGGAAACAACGGGCGAAAGAGTTTTGGCCGCAACAAGGAGATATTAATACCAGGTACTTTCACAACTCTATCAAACAACATAGACGACGAAATTTAATGAAAGGACTTTATGCCGAGTCGGGCCAATGGGTGACCGAGCATGAGGGATTTAAATAGCATGGTTTTAAATTATTTTGAGACTCTATTTACGAAGGGTGGAAATGCTTTTAATTTACTTGTGCGGGACCTCCGACAAAGAATTAATGATGCTCAAAATACTCGCCTTCTGAGAGGAATCACGGATGCAGAAGTCCGGGTCGCGGCGTTTAGTATGCACCCAGATAAAGCGCCAGGTCCAGACGGATTAAATCCGGGATTTTTTCAAACTTTTTGGGATATTGTGGAACCGGAAGTGGTGGATTTTGTATTAATATCCTTAATTCAGGCTGCATTCCAGATGGTTACAATGATACTACCATTGTGTTGATCCCCAAGAAGGAGAATCCGATGACGATGGGAGACTGGAGACCAATCGCCCTTGGTAACGTGGCCTATATGATTTTTGCTAAGGTGCTTGATAATCGTCTCAAAGGGTTATTAGATGGTATTATAGCTGAAAATCAAAGTGCTTTCATTCCTGGCAGATCCATAGTTGATAAAATTATTATAGTCTTTGAAATTCAGCATTTTTTGAAAAGGAAAACCCAGGGTAGAGAGGGGTATGCTACTCTTAAATTAGACATAAGTAAAACTTATGACAGGGTTGAGTGGACTTTTCTCAGATATACCATGGAGTGCTTTGCTTTTCATACCCGGTGGATTAATATTATAATGCAGTGTGTGGAAACAATAAATTACAATGTCCAAGTGAACGGGGATTTGATTGGTCTGATCTCTCCTTCCCGGAGATTGCGACAGGAGGATCCGTTGTCCCCTTACTTGTTTATCATGTTAGCGGAAGGAATTAGCACTTTGTTACGGGCGAAGGAGCAGGGTGGCACTATTCAGGGGATCCGTGTGGCACGAGGAGCGCCGACGATCTCTCATTTACTCTAAGCCTTTGGTTTTGAATAATGCTATTTAAATGAAGCATAGTGCACCATATGCACTTTATTACACACATCATGAAATTTTCTTTTTCACGAATTGGATGCATTTTTTCTCATAAGTAAATGCACTTTACTTGAATAGTTATGCACCATGAAGGGGCGCTCAGAGTCCATTGCGAATTATCTTTATTTTCGATTTATTAGTGCTTTTTATCACAGTTAATGTCAAACATCTAATGAGTGCATCAAACTATATGATAATTTTATGAATTGAATATAGTGCATTAAAATCATATAATGTGTGCACTGATTTTGAGAGAAATAGTTATAGTGCATAAATATCATTTCACTTACATAGGAGGAACACAAATATTAAACAGAAGATATATGTAAACATAAAGAAAAACAAAAGCATAAAAATCATCAAAAATAAAATAGAAGATATATTTAGACACGATGAAATGATTAAGTCTTTTATTTAGAAAGAATGAAAAAGGGATGTCTTCCGATGTGACTCTGGAGAAATAATGAGGGTGTGAATGAGTCAAGTAATGGGATAAAGAATTATTTTGATTGGCTGAGAAAACATAAAATAATTTGATAAAGTAGCTATTACTATCAAGAACGGTAAAGCCATCAAAAAATAATTTGATAAGATACTTGGTTGTGAGAATTTGTAGGAAACGGTTAAGGAAACAATCGGATATCATTAATGTGATGCGAAAATATCATCTTTACCCTTAATGAGAGAGAGCCGATGTATTAAAATAATTCAAGATCATGGCTATAATTCATTCTCATTTCTCTCCTAAGATGGTTTT